GTAGATGGGGCTGGTGGCCCGGGAGTAAGCCCCACAGGCACAGGAGTTGGCCCGACGAGCACAGCAGTAGCTCCAATAGGGGGGGTTGGCTGTGCAGGTGCAAGAGCCACGACAGGAGGGGCGGTGCCTGCATTTGCTGGGGCAAGTGGGATTGGAGCAGCTCCGGGTGGGGTTGGCGCTGCAGCCACAATCGCAGGGGGTGTCGGGGCGGGATTAGCACCACCGAGGGACGCAAGCTCCACACGCCACCTTTCCCACCATCCCCAAACGCGTGCGGTAGTCAGCTGCCGGTCGATGTCGTGTGTAAAGCCATCCAACAGGTTCATCTCCTCTCCGGTGAGCTGCCACACATGACCCCTGGGTGGCTTACTCCGCCTCATCATGGCTGCAGCTGCAGCGAACATGCGGGCCGCTTGCTGCTGGTCAGTGAAGTTGCCGAGAATAAGCGTCCTTGATGACCCGGGCTCAGGAACAATCTTCGCTTGCCAAGTCCCGTCAAGGAGGAGCCTAACACCCGCATACTCCCTCAATCCACCCACTCCCTCGATCCCTCGACAGAGTGTGTGTGAGCTGGCGGCGGGCCCATACACCCATATTGATCCTCCGAAGGTGCACCCGCACGCGCACCATGACGAGTCGGAGTCGAGGCATCGCCGGTCGGCCCCAGAAGTAGCCCGTTGACAACTCCGAGGGCAGCATGTATCTGGTGCGAATCCCCCTACTACTCAATGTGCGCGGTCGTATCAAGGTCATCGTTGGTAGAGGGGTCGACGGGTCTCGCGCTAGCTCCACCCGCTGCACCAACAGTCTGCAGCTGCGCCGGTGGTGGTGAGGCTGCAAATTGTGCCTGCATCGCGGGAAGATCGTTGCGGGTGGTCGACAGTTCGTTGGTGAGAGACTCAACAAGGAACTCAAGTTTCTGAATGTCCTTCTCAGAATACCCCACGCAGCACGTGACGTTGTGGATGTCGCCGACAGCATCGCGGAGCTTCGCATCGAGTTCGGCAATCTCCGGCGACACCGGGTTATTCACGCGCTTGCTCAACAGCGGATCCTGGTGTGGCACCGAAATTCCAGCCCGCTCCAGGGTTGGGAGTAACCGCTTGAGTGCGTGTTCGACAATATCCCCACGCATCCCCCTTTGGCAGAGGCCAGCACCATAGGGCAAGGCGGGCAGCCCATCGTCCAGATTTGCGAAGCCGCTCGCAACCAGCTCCTTAGCATAGATGCAGACATAGACTCCATAGTCTACAAGGTTGGCCTGCATCGGGCACTGATAGTACTGCAAACGGCGAAACACACCATATTAGCGACGGTGCAAAACATTGCAATGATGGGGTTAGTGTATAACAGGATGCACGGCAACCAAAGTGCTTACTGCCATCGAGATGCAAGGCATTGGATCAAGCCGCTGCTTGATTTCGCTGGCAGAGAGGTCGAGCTCCTCAGCTTGTAGCGCCAGTCTGAGAAGCCTGAGCAAAACAACGATGCATGCAGTAATGTGTCAGAAAGAAGGTTAACCACCATGAGATGATTAGCACATTATGAAGACGGACGTGGTCCAGGGGCTTGCAACTCACGTTTGAATCTCGGAGAACACCGCTGGTGCCATGTTCGGGTGATCACCAGTCGAGTCGTAGAGGTATGCAACCGAGAGCTTCGAGTTCCCTGATTTTAGAGCATCGGTTCTAGCTCTGCCATGCTCCTTGATAACGACAAGGCTAAAATGCCTAGGCTCACTGCCAAATAACAAACAAAAATGTTAGGTGTTGCGGATCACGTCGTCACGATGCACTGCTAAGCGCGTACAGAGAGAGTGTGAGTGCGTCGCTTACATTGTTGTTACTATGACAAGGACGTAGTTGTAAACAATGATAGAGCCGCCTTCATATCCAGTGAAGAGCACATGTTGACTCGCCGCCATCAGATACGCTCATGTGTCGAGTGCAACCCAAGTCTGCCTGTTTGGGGTGCCTGATGCTCAGCAAACTGCGCGGGTTGTAAAAACAGACATGGAAAGCTAGTGTTAGGCCTCATGCAGTCATGCAAGAATATATGGAACCGCCGGGAAATATTCACTCACATGTTGTGGAAGTCGATCAAGGCCGTAATGAGCTCGTAACCATCTAGAATGCGCATCGCGTAGATTGCGCTGACGAAGGCATTCTGTCCTAGGGAGTTGTACAAGGCCTTCGTTGGGAAGTGCGGACTCTTGATGTTGGGGCCGCGTGAGCCTTTAGTTTGCGCAAGAGGTCCTCGACCTTTGGTGAAGGCGGTGATGATGTCGTCCACGGGGGGCAAAACCTCCTTCAACACGACGTTAGTTTTGAAGTTGAAGGGGGAGGTGCTAGGCTGTTCTTTTGGTCCTTTCCGTTGCTTCCCCTTCCTCCTGTCTTTCCCGTGCTCGTCGGTAACCAGTTTCACGCTAGAATTGTGAGAATCTCCGTCATTGGAATCCTCATGGACCGACTCCTCCGGCCATTTACCGAGGACAATTTTACTACGAAGATCTATGACAATCACTAAACGGAGTAGGCCACCGAAAAGCTAACACGATTTGCTAAGCCTAAGAGGAAATGACGATTACTAGCAACAAACTACTGGAAACACAAAGGTTGGAAGGAATATGATGAGAAAGGGCACGAGAGAAGGGAGCTTGGAGGGTTGTGATGTGGCTGAAAGGTTCATCGCGAACTCAAGACAAGACCTTGAAGGTGAGTATAAGGTTTATGCACACAATCGTCTCCTTCCTCAGCTATTGGACTGAAATTGTGCCCGTGCATGATCGTTGATCGGTCGCCTTAGTATACATGACAGTGCATGGACGTTATCGATAGCACCCTCCCACTCCTTGGTACATCACTCCCAAACCTTGAAACACCCAAACGGTTCCAACGCATGTTACTCTGGCGCGCAAGTGGAGTCACAAATATTTCGACCAATAAAAGGAACCACACGTGTCGAAAGTGTGGAAGTAGCTTCGTATGTAGGAATCGTGACAGTTTGTGATATCACGGGAGTACACGCGGCTGCCCGAATTTTGGAGTGGAAGGGTAGGAAAAACGGGTTTCGGGGGGCGGAGGGAAAGGCGGTCCATTCAATTAAGAAAAACGCCCACGTGGCGAGGGGGGAGAAATTTGGGTCGATTCTTTTGGGGAAATGATCAGACTGGGGCCCCAAAGTTCTAGGAATGTAGCCAACTTGGGGCCTCGTGTGTCGCAATGTTTCGAACCTGCTCCGGACCTATCTCTAGCCAATTTTGGGCCTCACCCACACGCTCCGTCAGACCTGATCACACAAGGTGACGGATTTCTCAACGCCAAGCTGGCAAAAAAAAAAAACCCATATGGGCATGAATTTGGTTAGGGAGGCATCAACCCTAAACATCTGGTCGCATGTGTTTAGGGTTGATGCCTCCCCGATTTTATGCCATCCGATTGGGTTTTATTTTTTTACCACTGCGATATTTTTTTTTGGATAAAATATTTATTTTCAAGTCATTTCTCTGAAGTATATGTACTGCCCATTGTGAATGGGCTGACGATCGCTGTTCCTGTAAACAAGAGTACTAGCGAAATCCGTCAAACCCAAGCCAGCAGTTGGTGACCTGGCGAGCTCGGCCTAGCTGCCTAGGCTTGTGGATTGCTTCGGGAATTCTTCGTAGGGTCGCGACTCACGAGGCCCCAAGTCGGCCATCTTTTTGCTAACCCGAGGCCCCAATATGATCATTCCCCATTCTTTTGAGAGAAACGTGATTTCCGCCGATGCGCGCGATTTCGCCCTCGTGAGCCCGGTGGTCCACGTCCCCGTCACGCGGGGAGAGTGCTGCGTTAGGAGGTCCTTGAGTCAGCTCGGAGACTTGGAGCTGCGTCAGTCTGCTTCACGCCTTGGACAAGCTGGCGAGCTCGGTTCCGGGCGGTCGAATACAGCACGTGGGGCTTCGTGTGCTAAGAGCTCAAACCCTGGTAGCGCTACCGAGGCTGCTACCATTCACTAGGCGACGCTACCTAGTGTAATGTATTGCTGCCTCTCATGCGCACTTACGCGACACCTGTCATATAGCCTTCAACTCATCGTGATTTGATTCGAGGTTTTCGGAGCCTAGCACTCATGAGTGAGTAGCAGGGAGGGAGCAGCACAGTCAAACAATCCATGCCAAAGTCTGTCTCGACAAAATTCTCGATGTCGTTCGAGTTTGCATGGTGCGATGGATCGGTCCCATCGTCGCTCGACGGGTCGGGAGACTGGCCCGACAGCACAGTCGAATTTGCCAATTTGCCATGGTCCCCTGCTTGCTGATCCTACCACTTCTTTTACCACTTCTTTCCTCCACTGCAAACCCTTTTTTTCGTCGCTCTCTCTGTCCTCTTGGCCCTTTTCACCTTTTTCACCGTCTGTATCAGCTGCCTTTTGCTACGGCTGAGGAATCTGCCGTCTGTCGCCACGCGGCTTTTGCATGTGCCTCTGTTTTTCGTCCACCCTCTAAGCTTACGGACATACTAGCGACTCAGACTCTGGGATTGTCGACACCATGCTTAGCGCCCAGTCCCCAGGAGAAGTTGGCAGAGCGGAATTCAACCGTACGGATCCTTTCGCGATTTTCTTGGTGTAGCATTCTGACCCAACCCCCACCTGGTCTCGATACGTCGAACCAGCTGTGAGGGGGAAACAAGGGGATAAATATGATTGGTTGGAGTTTGATTGGAAGCGAGAAATTTGGAATTGACTTGATTGGAAAACTAGCCAATCAGAACTCTGCTGTACAGTTGTGACAGAACTTACGCGATAGGTTTGAAAACAACCCACGTAAGTTCAAACATCACCCTTGCCCAACCAATCAGAGCATACTCACACAAAGTGAGTCGACGGAACTTCCGCCGCCGGTTGGAAATAGAACCAATAAGAAACAACCAACCTAAATCCAACTCGACTCTTCCTTGAAATTCCAACCAATGCAACAACTCAGGTTTGTGATATTTATGCATTGTTATCCTTGCTGTCTATTGTCTAATTGGTTGGAAACCCCAACCATTACCACATGGGCAAAGACCCATGGTGGTGCACCCTTCTTTGCCATGGGGAAGGTGGCTGCACCCCAAGGGGGTGGAGGGAGGGGTCTGAGCCAAGCTAGCTCATTCTTCTCTTCCTATCCCCAACTAAACAATTGGGAAATAGGATTGCGTCCTTCTAAACTCACCCTCCAGGATTTGTTACTACATCTCCTAGCACTCCTCGGACTTTATCATTTCCAGAAGCTGTTACTCTCTGGTTGTATTAGAACCTATTGGTATCTGGGTAAATGCCCTTTTACTTAGCAGATCCGTTATACTTGGCGAGTCAGCGGGTGAAGAAAATGCATGCGAAACCTTTTGCCAACAAAGACTCCGCGGGCGCTGTCTTTGCGTCCGCCACCGCGGCTCCGCTGCCTCAACTTCTGCCGATGCGGTTCAACCAGGATGACATGTGCTTCACGTATACAACGCAAAGCGGCTTTCGCGAGTTTTGTTGCGACCCGCTGAAGGAGGCGATTCAGCGGCGCTAGTTTGAGAGGCGCGGCGTGGGCATGGTGGAGATGCTGTCTTGCTGCCACCTATTCGCGCTCGTGGGCGGCGGTCCCAACCCTTGCTACCCGCCCAACAAGGTGCGGTGGGGAGAAGACACAGGTGAGGTGATTCGGGTACCTGATCAAGGAAAAGAAGGTGTGGCAGGGGAGGAAGGGAGGTGAGCGGAGGAAGGGGGATGAGGGGGTGAGAGGAGGTGAGGGGATGAGGGGAGGTGAGAGGAGGTGAGTGGGGGAGGGGAGGTGAGAGGAGGTCGGGATGTGAGGGGAGATGAGGGGAGGAAGGGAGGTGAAGGGAGGAGGGTAGGGGAGGGGAGGAAGGGAGGTGAAGGGAGGAGGGGAGGGGGGGGGGGGGGGAAGGAAGGTGAAGGGAGGTGAGGGGAGGGTGAGGGGACATGAGGGGAGGTGAGGGGGGAGGTAAGAGAGGTGAAAGGGGAGGTGAGGAAGGTGAGGAGAGAGGGAGTGAGAATAAGGCATGGGGAAATGGGGCGATAGTCACACCCGGTGCACCTTCAAATGGGTTCCTTGCAATTCTTGTTCTTCTGTGTCGTTCCCTCTTCCCCCCAACCCCCCTCTTACCCGATGACCTGTGAGGACTGTTAGTGTTAGCCCTCAATCTCACACTTTGTGCTTTATATTTTTCTATATCCTAGAGTAGTGTAGTTTGCACTTTGTGTTTGGTTGGGTGTACACCTACATCCCAACCAAACCCAAATGTAATCTCCAAACAATCTCCAACCCACCAATTGGAGATTGCCTTGGGATCACCCCCAATCCCTAGGGATTGCCCCCGATTCCCTTTCCCCTCCATTTCTTGCCCTTCTTGGATGTACTTAAAGTGCTTCAAGCTCATTACTAGTGTATCAGTTCTAAGCTTAAGTTCTGACATGGTATCAGAGCCCTTCAACCGCACACGCAGATCCTGACCCTCCTATCTTTGCGGATGCTCGTCCCGCAAAGCTCGGCATAGCCACCTTCAATCTCGTCGCCGGTGATTCGCGACATTCGTCGGTGGAAATTTTCCCGCACCACCTTCCCGTCAACTTCAAGACATCTACTATCTTTCTAGTGAGCATATTGTCGGCGCCATAACCTATCGCTCCTTTTTGTCAAACATCATCGCGTCATCTCTTATCCTCGTCGAGCCGTCGCCCGTCGCCCTACCGCTTCTCGTCGGGCCGCCGCCCGTCGGCCGCATCTTCTCGTCGGGCCGCCGCCCGTCGCCCGCAGCTTCTCGTCGGGCCGCCGCCCGTCGCCCTGCAGCGTCACCTTCGGGCTGCCGCCCGTCGCCCCGCATCTGCACTTCTACCCCCATACCCCTCCCGCAGCTAAACAGGTGCAGCAGCGCAGCCGAACAGCAGCGTAGCCGTGAAGCCGAGCAGCCGTGTAGCCGCGAAGCCGAGCAGCAGTGTAGCCGCGAAGCTGAGGGTGGTGTGTGGGGGGGTGTTGTTTGGGATCCGTCAATTTGAGAGCTTACGACGAACTCATTACTCACTTAAACGCAAATCCGCTCAGTGGGATTGTGCGCCTTAGGCTTAGCTACCATCTCCTAGTTGAATCAATTGTTAAGATGGTCTATGGACTGAGGACCAAGTAAAAACGTCCAGCAGCCGCATGACTTGAATGGTGGAGGAAGTACAAGCATTAAGGCATAGAGAGTTGGAGTTGGGAACCTCCAAGAGAACCATGAGAGGGAAGGGGTTCTCCAAGTGCTAGAGAAGGATGGTAGGAACCTTCCTAGCAGCAAGGATGCAACCCTCATCACGAGGTCCTTGAGGTGTCACATGCAAAATCCAATCTAGTTGGATTTTGCCTAGGTGTTGCAACATTTGCAACCCATGCTAGAAACTTCTAGCCACCCCAATCCAAAAGTCAAAGTTGCCTCCCAAACCACCCAACCAAAGATCCCTTTAAAGTCATGTCCAAGTAATCACCCAAATTAGACATAACCCCAAAAAGTAATAAGAAATCCAAGTCTTGGAAATCTTGTAACTTGGGCGATCTTGGTCGGAATAAGGCGATCTTGGTATTGTTGGAAAGCTCTGGATTTCTCCTGCATGATCAAGCATTTAAACTTGGAGAAAAACACAGAAAGGATAATATCCAACAGCCACGCACAATGATATATGCTCATGCACAGAATGCACGCATGAATAGCACGAGCACTTGGCAGGACGTTAGGATGACATGCACTCAGAATGACGTGCATCCAACAAACTCCCCCTCAGACTAACGGACTGCATGCACACACACTCACATACATGCAAACTCTCATGCACACAATCACACATGCACTCATGACACTGCTGCCCACACTAGTGCAATGCCATGCCACACATTTTAGCAAACTTCCAATGTGCGCTCTCGGTAAGTCTCTTGGTGAGAAAATCTGCCGCCTGCATGGTAGCCTTCACATGGTGAAACTCAACAATCCCCTCCTTCACCATCTGCCTCACCTAGTGCCACTTGATCTTCATGTGCTTGTTCAACCCATTCAGGATAGGATTATTGGCCATGCCAAAAGCAGCCTCGCTGTCGGAGAAACATGGTGTAAGTCCCTCCTATTCAGCCCCCATGTCTTCAAGCAGCTTCCTCAGGAGCACGATCTCCTTGATGGCATGGTACATCGCCATGTACTCTGCCTCTCCGGAAGACTGAGCAATCTCACTCTGCTTCTTGGACCTCCAGCTCACTGATCCACCTCCAACCATGCACACAAAGCCGCAAGCAGATGACTAATCCTCCTCCTCTGAGGCCCACGTAGCGTCAGTGAAGCACGAAAGCTTCAAGGTTCCAGGCGTGAACCCATCTGCTCCAATCTGTTTCAGTTGGCCGCCAGCTGAAAACTGAACACCAGCAGATGCCGTTGATCCGAGGTAGCGCACCAAGCGCTTTGCCACCTCCAACTGGTCCTCAGTGGGCCGCTGCACAACTCTGGCCAGCTGCCCCACTCCGAATGAAGCATCAGGTCGCGTATGCACAGCTGCATACATCACACTCCCAATGAGTGAATGGTACTCATTCTACTGCTCATCCTTGAGTACATCATTCTCCTCAGCTGCCTTTTTCAGTTTGAAGCCCGCAGGGAATGGTGTCATCACAGTGCGACCCCCAGTCATACCATACCGCTCTATGACACCAAAGATGTAGTGTGACTGATGCACCTTCAGCCACCTCCTCTCAACATCCCTTTCAATCTGCAGCCCCAAGTAGTAGTGGACATCCCCCAGCATCTTGCACTTGAAGTTGTCCATCAGCAGCTTCTGTGTCCTCTCAATCTGCTCCATGGAAGGTGAGAACAGCAGTATGTCATCGACATACATCAGCAGCAAAAACAACTGCTCCCCCTTTCCAAGCAAAAACAAGCTGTGATCCGCCTGGGACGTCTTGAAGCCTCCACTCAGCAGCACCTCCTCCAGTTTCTCGTACCAACACCTGGGCACTTGCTTAAGGCCATAGATGGCCTTCTTAAGCTTGCACACCCGGCTGGTCCCATCCTCATAGCCGTCAGGCTGCGCCATGTAGATATCCTCCAGCAGCACTCCAGTGAGGAACGCAGTGGTGATATCCATCTGCTTCACATGCCATCCCTTCACAGCTGCGCCAGCCATTAAAGTCCTCAGTGCCAGTGGCTTACCAACGGGAGCAAAGATCTCCCCAAAGTCGACCTTCTCTTTCTGTTGAAACCCCTTGGCGACCAAACGGCTCTTGAACCGCTCCAACGCACCATCAGCACCACTCTTCACCTTTAAGACCCACTTGCTGCTGATCGGCCGTCGTCCCTCGGGTAACTGAACAAGCTCCCAAGTCCCATTCTTAATGGGACTATTGAAGTCCGCATCCATGGCAGCCTTCCACTCCTCCTTCTGGGGTCCAGTGAGTGCCTCCTCCAATGTGGCTGGTTCTCTAGGCAAGGGTGTGAAGAAACAGAAGGCCATCTCCTCATCCTCTCCCTCATCTGCCTGAACCACCATGGCACCTTGCTCAGATCCTCCCAAACGGCTATACTTCAGCCTTGAAGGTGCTGCTGCCACTCTCTTCTCGCAGGTTGCAATCTGCTGCCCATGTGGTGAAGCTCCTCTCTGCACACTCCTCTTGGTGACCTTGGCCGTTGCAGCAGGCTCGGGCTGAGATGGTGAGTCCACACGTGCCGACTCATCCTCCAACCCCTCCTCTCCAGCAGGACCAGAAACTTGCTGCTCACCACCGCCACTGTGGTCACTGGTCAGCTCTGACCCAGGGAGATCCTCAAGGTGCAGCTGAACCTCCTCAAATGCAGACTGCTCAATCTCCTGCAGACGCAAGCCAATCTGCACCTGCTACTGCTGCTGCCAATCCTTGTACATGACGTCCTCAACAAACTTGACGTCACGACTGATCAGCGTCCTCTTGCTCTTGGGGTCCCACATCAGCCACCCCTTCGAGTCAGGAGCCATCCCAAGATGGACAGCCCACACAGCAGCAACTTCCACCTTGTGCGTCTGCTCCTTAGGCACCATCACAAGCCCCATGCAGCCCCACACCCGCAGCATGTCAATGGATGGCTTCTTCCCAAGCCAACGCTCGTACGGCACCCAATGCTTGTCGCCAACATGTGTCAAGACCCTTCTTGACCGTGATGACATGGCAAACAACATCAGGCCAGATCTTGTAGGGCATCCCAAAAGCCCCCAACAGAGTCTTAGCCGCCTCGCCAATGGTCCAGTTGTCACGCTCAGCAATGCCGTTCCGCTGCGGTGTTCCTGGGCAGGTCAGCTGGTGTCGGATGCCGTTCCTCTTGAGAAACTTGGTGAATTCCGCTCCAAGGAACTCTCCACCACGGTCGCTCCTCAGCACCTTCACCAGCCGCATCGCTTGTCGCTCCACCATCGGCAATCAATCCTCCTTGATTGCTGCTGTAGCATCGCTCTTCTTGGACAAGGGACGTGCCCACGTGAAACGGCTCCATTCGTCCACCATGCTCAGGAAGTACAGCACTCCCCCAGTCCCCTCAGTCCTCATAGGACCCACCAGGTCCATGTGCACCACCTCCAAGGGTGCCTTCGCCGATCCCTCCGCACGTGGAAACGGGAACCGCGCAAACTTGTTTAGCATGCACGCCTCGCAGCTGCCATAGTGAGCGCCATCTCCTTGCAGTTGCAGCCCATGCACTTTAAGTTTTAAGTTTTATTGATAGATTGTAATCCATGCATACAGTGTTGAAGCAAGAATGAGAGGAACTCAAACCTAAAAGGTTTGCGCCGGATGGCGCAGTCTTGCCTTGCCTAGCAAGCAAGTGCAGCAAACCGCTACACTGGTCCAACACCATCTTATGGCATGCGGGAGACTCTTTATGGGGGGTGGAAGTTTTCCCTTTGTAGCCACGCGTTGCGTAGATCTGGGTGTAAGGCTGGAAGGCCAGCGGCGTCAAACTGTAGGAAGCGCCATTTAGTTGCGAACTTGACCCTCGAGGCGCTCTTCTTCTGTTTTTTTTCCGA